CAGTGGCTGGGGGGGTGCGGGCTGCAGCAGCGGTAGGGAGGCTGCGGGCTGCAGCAGCGGAGGAGGGGAGGAGTGCTGCAGCAGCAGCGGGGGTCAGCGGCGCGCAGCAGCGGCACGGGTAGACGCGCTGCTGCTGCCTGCTGCTGCTGCTGCTGCTGCTGCAGCTGGAGGCCCGTAGGCCAGCAGCAGCGCGGCCTGCTGCTGCTGCTGCTCACTTTGGACTTGCTGCAGCTCTGCAGCTGTACGTTGTTCGTTTCTTCTGGCGCGTCGATGTTAGGGTTTACTCTAGGGTTTAGGGTTTAGGGTTTGGGGCTTCACACTTAGCCCCGCCAAGAGTGTTTCGTGCCTCCTAGGGTTTAGGGTTTAGGGTTTACAAGATGCGTATGGATGGATACTTTAAAGAGCACTTTGTGAGTCCTAGGGTTTAGGGTTTAGGGTTTACAATATGCTTATCGCTGTATACTCCGCAAGTCCTTCATAGGCATAAGAACTAATATAGATCTGAGTTTTATAAGGAGGGTTTAGGGTTTAGGGTTTAGGGTTTAGGGTTTGGCGGTGGAGTTGCCGCTGGGCGTTATGGACCTGGCGGCGGTGTAGGTGCGTAGGCAGGTGTGGGGCTGGAATTAGGGTTTAGGGTTTAGGGTTTAGGGTTAAAATTAGGGTTTAGGGTTTCGAAACTCGGGTGCGACTGAAGGTCCTTCTGGGGCCCTTGCTCTAAACACTACAGATTTGCAGCAGCAGCAGCAGCAGCAGCAGATAGCAGCAGCAGATGGCAGCAGCAACGGCAAAAACCAATGAGTTTGGGTGGGGTGCTGCTGCTGGCAGCAGCAGCAGCAGCAGCAGCCCGGTACAGTTCGGGATGTCTATACACCTAGAAGAGGGTCTCCCTGCGCAAAGAAAAGGAGGGCCCCTTGCTGCTGCCTGTGCTGCTGCTGCTGCTGCTGGCAGCAGCAGCAGCAGCAGGGGCGAGCCGCTGCAGCGGGAGCTCCGCAGCAAACACCCAGGAGCTCCCGCCCGCTGCAGTGTCTGTACACTGCAAACTCAAACTGCGATTCGGAAACAAATTTAAAGACAAAAGGCCCCCGCTGGGAAGCTTCGAAGAGAAACCCAAAGAGAAACACCTGAGCAGCAAAAAAGTCCAAAAAGACAAATTCCACAACCGCGCCATCAGCAGCTGTTTGTACACCTCAGCCAGCTGCCCATACACCGCAGATAGCTGCCGATACACCCCAGAGAGCTGCCCATACACCCCAGATAGCTGCCCATACACCCCAGAGAGCTGCCCATACACCCCAGATAGCTGCCTATACACCCCAGACAGCTGCCTATACACCCCAGACAGCTGCCGATACACCCCAGAGAGCTGCCTATACACCCCAGAAAGCTGCATATACACCCGAGAGCTGCCTATACACCCAGAGAGCTGCCCATACACCGCAGACAGCTGCCTATACACCCCAGGCACAGGTGCCTGTACACCCCAGACGCTTCGTGCTGGTGCTGCTGCAGCAAGAGGGATGCAAATGAATATATTAAAATGTGCATTTGTGCATATGGGCGAAGCAGCAGCAGCTTTGTAAAATGTGAATGCATGCAGATGCAAAATAACTATTTATATATTTGCAGTGGAAAGATGAAAATAAATGAACGCAAAAGTCACACTTACACAGCTGAGGTGTACGTACAGCTGCACGCAGAAAAAGCCACTTGAACAGAAATGCACAAATGGACAAAAAAGCGCATGCAGATTGTTCTAATTGGTTAAATATAAGTAAAATGGATTAAATGGAATCAACAAAAGGGCCTTATTGCACTTAAAAGGAGAAAAAGAAACAAAAAACAGAAGTGGAGAAGCAAAGGGCGGAAAGCTGCTGCGGTGTATGCGGCCTCCGGTGTACGTACACCCGAACGCCGCAGACTACTTCTTCCAAACTTATTTGTCTCTTATCATTTAATTAAATCTAAATTTATCTTCTTCTGCTCCTCTCGCGCTCCAGGGGGCTAGAGGCAGCTGCTGCAGCTGGGGTGTACAGACACCTGAGCTGCTGGCAGCTGAGGGGCCCCCTAACGGGGTGTACGTACACCTCAGCTCGGGGCCCCACACTTGTCTCACTTTTCTTTTAAATGAAACTTCGGCTCCAGCAGCAGCTGGCCCTTGGCGCCAAAGCCCAAAGAAAAGCCCAAAGACACATCAGCAGCTTTTTCGCCGCTGCTGCTGCTGCTGCTGCTGCTGCTGCTTTCTGCCAGGTCCGCTTGCTGCTGCGCCTTCGCTCTCCCCGCGTCCGCAGCATGCGCAGCAGCAGCAGCAGCAGCTGCTGCTGCTGCTGCTGCCGCTTTCTCACTCTCAGCTCTGCTGCCCGCCCGCAGCAGCAGCGGACCTCGAGCAGCAACTTCAAAGCCCAGCAGCGTCGGAACTGCTGTGTCTCCTGCTGCTCCTGTGAGAGCAGCAGCAGCAACTCGCATAGACGCTTCCCCTGCAGCAGCAGCAACACAGAGCAGCAGCAGCAGCAGCCGGCTGGGTGCTGCAGCAGAAGCCTCCTTGACTTCAACAAACAGCTCGTGCTGCAGCAGCTGCAGCAGCTGCAGCAGCTGCAGCAGCTGCAGCAGCTGCAGCAGCAGCAGTTGGAGCTGCTGCTGCAAATGCAAGCATCAGCCCATCAGGGCACACAAGCCCTGGCTGCAGCGGGCCAGCAGCGGCAACACGCCCAGCAGCAACAGCACCACCAGCAGCAACAGGATCAGCAGCAGCAGCAGCAGCAGCAGCAGCAGCAGCAGCAGCAGCAGCGGACCCTTCTCGAAGTCATGAGCTGTTTCCACAGCTGCTTTGCTGCTCTTCAAACTCCAGCAAGCGCGAGAAGCAAAACCCAAAAGCCGGAGGCCCCATGTGCTGACGGCCAACTCGCTGCTGCCTCGGGAAGCTGAGCAGCAGCAGCAGCAGCAGCAGCAGCAGCAGCAGCAGCAGCAGCAGCAGCAGCAATTGTAGCAGGAGAGGGTTTTCGCGGTCTTGAAGAAGCAGCAGCACAAAGGCTGCAAAGGCACCGGGAGCCGCACGCCACAACCAGCAGCAGGACCAAGTGCAGCAGCAGCAGCGGTAACAGCTTCAGCAGCAGCAGCAGCAACAGCAGCAGCTGCTGCAGCAAGAGCACCACCAAAAAATAGCAACAGCAAGACAAGCAACAGCAAGAGCAGCAAAAGCAAGAGCCTCAAACGCAAGCGCAGCAACGGCAAGAGCCGCAGCAGCAAGAGCAGCAGCAGCAAGAGCAGCAGCAAGCGCAGCAGCAGCAGCAGCAGCAGCAGCAGCAACAGCAGCAGCGACTTACCCGCGAAGGTAAGTTTAGATTTGCCTTTGCTGAAGGTGCCGAGACACCTCAGAGCCCCCTCACTAACAGGAAGAGGTGTCTGTACACCCAAGAGCAGCTCCACGCCGCTAACGCCCTGCTGCAGCTGCTGCAGCTGCTGCTGCAGTTGCTGCTGCAGCTGCTGCTGCAGCTGTTGGAGCTGCTGCAGCCGCAGATCTTTTCGGTGGCTTGCAAACGAGGGCAGCAGCTGCTTCCCCTCCTCCTCTGGCACCGTCGCGCCGCCTTTCTGCTGCTGCTGCTGCTGTTGCAGCTGCTGCTGCTGTTGCTGCTGCTGCTGCAGCTGTCGTTGCTGCTGCCATTGCTGCTCCTGCTGCTGCTGCTGCTGGTCAACGGGCAACTCAGCATTTAAGCGGGCAAATGCCGAGACACCGAAAGGCAGCTGCAGCGGCACCTGAAGTGTACGCACAGCTTAGCAGCAGCAGCGAGCGATGCAGCAGCAGAAGCCTTCAACAGCAGCAGCAGCAGCAGCAGCAGAAACAGCAAGAGCAGCAGCAGCAGCACAAATACTCACCGTTGCACCCACGGAGACAGACTGCAGCCCTGTGCCGCCTCCAATGCTTATGGGGCCCGACGCTACCTGCAGCAGCAGCAGCAGCAGCAACAGCAGCAGCAGCAACAGCAGCAGCAGCAGCAACAGCAGCAGCAGCACCGCACCGAGGAGGTAATGCAGCAGCACCCCACAAAAGACGCGTTCTCACAGCCCGCATGAGACACATGCAGAGCTGCCCTTCAAAGCGAGAAGCAGCAGCAGCAGCAGCAGCAGCAGCAGCAGCAGCAGCAGCAGCAGCAGCAACAGCAAAGGAAGCCACAGGCCGCATTACCCATATTCGTCGCCCCAGTGTCTTCGCCAATGACGCGCCTGGAAGCAGCAGCAGCAGCAGCAGCAAAGCTGCCGGCAAGGCAGTGCCGGCAATCCTTTGCTTCATTCTGCTGCTGCTGCTGTTGCTGCTGCTGCTGCTGCGCTTGTTGCTGCTGGCGATGCCGCAAGGGTATCTCCTGCTGCAGCTGCTCTTGCTGCTGCCGCTGCAGCCAGAAGTTCGCCGTGTTCCCCTTTCTTATCGCAGCGCGGCGGCCCGCTGCTGCTGCTGCTGCTGCTGCTGCTGTTGCTGCTGCTGCTGCTACTGTCGCTGCTGTTACCGCTGCTGCTACTGCTGCTGCAGCTGCTACTGCTGCTGCAGCTGCTACTGCTGCAGCTGCTTCTGCTGCTGCAGCCTTTGCTGCTGCTGAGTCTGTAAAGGCTGTCTCTGCTGTGGCTGTCTCCACCCCTTGTGGCTTCCTTCTGCTGCTGCTGCCGCCGCTGCTGCTGCTGCTGCTGCTGCCAGTGCAGCAGAGTTGTGTATTGAGTTTGTCGCTGCAGCAGAGACACTTGTAGCTGCTGCTGCTGTTAACTGCTGCTGCTGCCGCTGCTGCTGCTTGGGGAGGGCCTCGGGGTGTCTCCAGGGGGGAAGGAACCCCAAACCCTAAACCCTAAACCCCAAACCCTAGGCCCTAGTGTCTAAACCCCAATTCTTTTCCTTTGCTTCTGTTGTGTAATATAAAGTATTAGTTATCTTGCATTGCGCGGCTTCAGCTGCTGCTGCTGCTGCTGCTGCTGCTGCTGCACACCGGTGGGGCAAGGGGCCCCTACTGGCGGTCTCGGGCAGCAGCAGCAGCAGCAGCAGCAAGTCTGCATAGAGTTTTTTTGCGTTGTTCGCGCCTCGAAACCCTAAACCCTAAACCCCAGACCCTAAACCCTAAACCCTAAACCCTAGTTTGGCGAAACAACTCGCCGCGGACGACTGGCGTCTCGTGGGCCTCAGGGCTGTCCCACACCGACAGTGTTTGTAAACCCTAAACCCCAAACCCCAAACCCTAAACCCTAAACCCTAAACCCTAAAACCCAAACAGTTGTTGATTTGCTGCTTCGTTCTTTAAATGAGTCATTTCCCCTAAACTGAAAACTGGAAGGATCGGAGCTGTCTGTACACCAGAAGTAGATGAGCCTTTCCAGAGCCAAGCTGCTGCTCTCTAAGGAAAGCAGCAGCAGCTTGCTGCTGCTTGCTGCTGCCGCTTGCTGCTGCTGCGTGCAGCAGCAGCCTGCTGCTGCTTGTTGATAGCCTGCTGCTGCTTGCTGCTGCTAATTGCTGCGGCAGTTTGCCGTTGCTCACTGCAGATGCCTGCTGCAGCATCTTGCTGCAGCAACTTACTGCAGTGATTGCTGCTCCTGCTCTAAGCAGCAAGCAGCAGTAAGCAGCAGCTTGCTGCTGCTTGCTGCAGCAGCTAGATGCAGCTAGCTGCTGCTTGTTGCTGCTGCTGCTGCAGTTTGCGGGTGCTGGCTGCCACTGTTGCCAATGTAGAATCTGTGAGTGGCTGCTGAGGCCCTGAGGCTGTGGGGTGGACAGCAGCAGCTGCTAAGAGTTGTGCTGGTGGTGCTGCTGGCTGCGCAGCAGCAGCAGCAGCAACGGCAGCAGCAGCAGCAGCAACAGCAGCAGCAGCAGCGGATCACTCTGGAGTCACTGGGGGCCTGGCCCTCCGCTGCCACAGCAGCCACCCCGCAAACACCGAAGCAAGAGCGACGGCAACGAGGTCGAGACAAGCAACAAGAACTGAAGCAGCAGCAGCAGCAGCACAGCAGCAGCAGCAGCAGCAGCACAGCAGCAGCAGCAGCAGCAGCAGCATGAGACTTAACGCAGGGCCAGAAAGGAGCTAAGGAGATGGGCACTGAAAATAGAGGCAAATGGGGGCCCTATGGAGACACAAACAAAAGCAAAAAGGAGACAGGCAGCAGCAGCAGCAGCAGCAGCAACAACAGCAGCCGCAACAGCAGCAGCAACAGCAGCAGCAGCAGCAGCAGCCCAGAGGAGCTGCTCTTTAGTCAAGCAGCAGAGGAGACACCACGGAAACCACTTGCAGCAGCAAAGTGATAAAGAAAACGAACTGCGAGCCCAAAAGAGAAAAAGAAATACTTTTATGACAGAGACAGAAGCAGACAGGACATGTGCAGCAGCAGCACAGCTGCTCGCAGCCACAGCGCCGCTTGCTGCAGCAGCAGCAGCAGCAGCAGCAGCAACACCAGCGAACGGCAGCAGCGTTAAAAAACGCAGCAGCAACAGCAACAGTAGCCCTAGTAACAGGAGAAAGTAGCAAAAGAACAGCAGCAACAGCAACAGCAGCAAACAGCAGCAGCAGTCGCTCTAGTGCTACTGATAGGGGTACGCAGCAGCAGCAGCAGCAGCAGCAGCAGCAGCAGCAGCAGCTCACTCGTGTACTGCTGCCAGTTCAAGTGGTACAGGGGGGCCTCGAGGGCCCCCAGCGCATGCAGCGCCTCGCTGCCCACAGAGTGGACTCCGCTGCACCACAAGTAGGACAGCTGCCAGGGTGCAGCAGCAGCAGAACAGTGGACGTGGTATCCTGCAGCAGCAGCAGCAGCAGCAGCAGCAGCAGCAGCAGCTGCAGCACTGTGCGCGTGCACGCAGGCGCAGACCAGCCTGCTGTTCGCCGCGCTGCTGCTGAGCACCCCAGCAGCACGCGAAGGCTTGCAAAGCAGCTGACGCAACTCTGCCTTTTGCTGCTGCTGCTGCTGCTGCTGCTGCTGCTGCTGCTTTTGCTACTGCTGCTGCTACTAGCGCAGCTGTGCTGCTTACCCTTCTGCGCCAGGTCTCGAACGCGTGAGGCCTCTAGATCTGTCCATGGAGCGCTCACTATATCTGTCACTGCAGCAGCAACTCCATCAGCAGCAAGAAGTGAAGCATGAGCAGCAGCAGAAACGGCCGCAGCAGCTGCTGCTGCTTCTGCTGCTGCAGAGGCAGCAGCAGTCCTGGCAGGCACCCTGCTTCTGATGTGGCTGCTGCTGTTCGAGGGGAGCGTAAAGGTGGCATCAACACCAAACAGCAGCAGCAGCAGCAGCAGCAGCAGCAGCAGCAGCAGCGACGGCGACAAAAGCATTGGGAGCATCCAATAAAGCAGCAGCAGCAGCCACAGCAGCAGCAGCCGCAGCAGCAGCAGCAGCAAACAGTTCTCCCCACTCTTGCTGGGATCGTCTTCAAATGAGGGATCGATCTCCGTGACCAACTTCGCCTCCGGAAGAGATTTCCGCACTTCCTCTCTGCAGCACAAAGAGAAGCAGTTAGCTGCTGCATGCGCTTCAGCAGCAGCAGCAGCAGCAGCAGCAGAGGCAGCAGCCACGGCTGCGGTAGCAAGCGCAACGCTAGGGGCAGAAGCAACTCGAGCAGCAGCACGAGCAGCAGAACTAGCCCTCGCCGGGACCCAGCAAGCAGCAGCAGCAGCAGCAGCAGCAGCAGGATCAATGGAAACCAGAAAAGCAGCCGCAGCCGCATCCGCAGCAGCAGCAGCAGCAGCAGCAGCAGCAGCAGCAGCAGCAGCAGCAGCAGGTGTGACCTCATTGCGCCGCTCCACCAGAGCAGCTGCTGCGCGTGGGCGTCTTGGAAAGCAGCAAATAAGAGCGAAGGGCAATTCGAGCCGCAGTCGAAAGCATTTAAAGAACAAGAAGGACAAAAAAGAGAAATTAAAATTGGAACTTTTTCGCAAACGCTGGAGGCCAGCAGCTCCTTCAAAGCAGCAACGCCTGAGACGCACGCGCAGCACACGCGGCGGCCTGCTGCTGCTGCTGCTGCTGCTGCTGCGGTGGCTGCTCGCGGCTGCTGCTGCGCTAGATGCTGCTGCTGCTGCTGCTGCTGCTGCGGCTGCTGCGGCTGCTCGTGTCTGGACGCACGCTGCTCTGCAATGGTCTCGCGAGTTGCCACGTCGATGGAGGAGACGGTGCCATATATGTCTCGCTGCAGCAGCAGCAGCAGCAGCAGCAACAGCAGCGGCAGCAAAACTGGTGAAAGCCAGCAGCAGCGCCATCTGCAAGGGATGTGGGTCAAAAAGAGGCGAACGGCAGGAATCGAAGCGACAGCAGCGAGGGTCAAAGAACGCAAACTCGCAGCAGCAGCTGCAGCAGCAGCAGCTGCAGCAGCAGCAGCTGCAGCAGCAGCAGCTGCAGCAGCAGCAGCAACAGCAGCAGCAGCAACAGCAGCAGCAGCAGCAGCAGCAGTGTCACCTCGATCCACCAGGCCCCCGGATTAAGCGCCACAATGTCTGTCCAGGCAAAGAGATCAACAGGGGCTGTGGCAGCAGCAGGAAACACGCGAGAGGCGTCCGTCATGCGCGCAAATGTGCTGTCGCTCTGCAGCAGCAGCAGCAGCAGCAGCAGCAGCAGCAGCAGCAGCAGCAGCTAGTATGCAGAGTCAGCAAGCGTCAGCCACAGCCAGTTTCCCTGAAGTAAGAGAATCGCTGCTGTGTCCGTTTGAGGCACAGCTGAAACAGCAGCAGCAGTAGCAGCGGCAGCAGCAGCGCAGGCCTTAGCAGCAGCAACAACGGCAGAAGCGGCAGCTGCTGCTGCTGCTGCTGCTGCAGCTCACAAACAAGAATAATGTGTGGCTAGCTGCTATGTGAACGTCAGTAGCAAAAGCAGCAGCGCCCGCCTCTCGAGCTGCCCGGAAGGACTCCCTAAGGACGCAGCAGAAACCCTGGATACGCCTTTGCTGCAGCAGCAGCAGCAGCAGCAGCGGCGGTTGCTGCAGCGGCAAGAACTACGGGAGCAGCAGCAGAAACAGCATTAGCGGACGCAGTAGCAGCAGCTACAACAGCAAGAAGACTGGCGGAAGCCGCAGCAGAAACAGAAGCAACGGAAGACAGTACAAGCAACACCACAAGCAGCAGGGAGAGCAGCGCACGCAGCAGCAGCAGCAACAGGAGCAGCAGCAGCAGCAGCAGCAGCAGCAGAAGCAGCGTAGGGGTCACCTACATAGTGTTTTCGGGCCGTAAAAGAGGAAGGCCCTTTATTCCCATCAGCATGGGGCGGGGAGGCAGCCAAGACTCGCTGCTGTAGCTGCTAGCCATCTCTGCTGCTGCTGCAGCTGGCGCTGCTGCTGTTGCTGCTGTTGGAGCAGCATCTGCTGCTGGGTCAGTTGCTGTGGCTGCGACTGCAGCTGCCGCTGGTGCCGCCTCTTCTGAGTCTGCTGCTGTTGGGACTGTTGCTGTTGCCGGTGCCTCTCCTGCTGCTGCTGCTGCTGCTGCTGTAGGTGCTTCTGGTGCTGCTGCTCGTGCCTCTTCCGTTGCTGATGCAATTGATGCTGCTGCTGCTGCTGCTAGTGGTGCTGCTGCTGCTGCTTTGAACTCTGCTGCTGGGGCCACAGCTCCACTAAGACCGTCAGGCTGTTCATGAGCAACAGCCGGCCTTGCAGCTGTTGCTTTTTCCACAGGCGCAGCAGCAGCAGCAGCAGCAGCAGCAGCAACTGCCGGTGCAGCGACTTCTGGTTCTGCAGCAGCAGCTGCTGCTGCACGCACAGTTAGTTTTGCTGCAGCAACAGCAGAATTTGAAGGCCCTGCCTCACCTAGCCTTCTGCTGCTGATGGCGGTGGTGTTGCTTCGGCTGCTGTTGCTGCTGTTGCCGCCCCTCCAGCTGGACTCAGTAAGGCTACCTTCCCTGCTGCTGCTGCTGCTGCTGTTGTTGTTGCTGCTGCTGCTGCTGTTGTTGCTGCTGCTGCTGCTCTGACGCGGTGCAGGCCCTTCTGCTGTCGTCGAAGGACCTTCCCAGCCCTCTGGCTCGCTCCTTCTCGCGCTGCTATCAAAGCAGTTGCCTATGCTGCTGCTGCTGCTGCTGCTGCTGCTGCTGCTGTAGAGCGCTGCCAGTCCCCCCTGCTGCAGCGGCGGCTGCTTGAAAATGCAGGGAGAGCCGAAGCCTCCAGGCCCCAGGAAAGGACACAGCAGCAGCAGCAGCCACAGAGCAGCAGACAGCAGAATTGCAAGCCAGACGCGCATGCACTTGAGGGACAAGGGGCAGCCCTCGCTGCTGCGGCTATACCGAATGCTGCTGCTGCTGCTGCTGCTGCTGCTGCTGTGGACGCTATGAAGGCTGCCTATGGCCCTCGGGGGTTGCTGCTGCGCTGCAGAAAAAGAGAAGCCCGGCAGCAGCCCCACTGCTGGCGCTGCTGGCGGCGCGCTGCTGCTGCTGCTGCTGCTGCTGCTGCTTCCTGCTGCAGGAGAAGCCCCGTGCAGCAGCAGCGGGACCTCGTGGGCAACAGCAGGGGCTTCCATGTCTGCAGCCACTGCAGCAGGAGGCAGCGCTGCTGCTGCTGCTTTGAGGACGCAGCAGAAGGCGATCGTAGCAGCAGGAACAGCAGCAGCATGCAGCAGCGGCAGGTGCAGCTGCAGCCACAGCCGCACCCCCCAGAAGTGCTGCGGGGAAAGCTGCGCCACAGCAGCAGCAGCAGCAGCAACAGCAGCAAGCACAAGACACAGCAGCAGCCAATGGGCCCCTCCCAGGCGCGGCTGCAGCCCCTGCTTCTGCAGCCGGCGGCCCGCGGCCAGCAGCAGCAGCGCGTAGAGCGACTGCAGCAGCAGCAGCAGCAGCCAGACCCCGGGCCCCACACTTAGAACCATGTCAGTTTCTTCAAAGATATATCTCTGGAGAGTCGCATATTCCCCGAAGCAGCAAATGGCAAAGAGAGCAGCAGCAAAGAGGCTGCAGCAAACCAGCCAGAGCAGCGCTCGGTCAGCTGCCTGCCACAGCGCGCTGTACGGCAAGCCAAACGGGCCCCGCTGCTGCTGCTGCTGCTGCTGCTGCAGCAGCAGCGCCCTCTCTTCTCGCCTCCTGCAGGGGCAGAGGGGCAGCTCGTACCACCAGCGCAGGGCCCGCACTGCAAATGGGAGGGGCTGCCTGGGCAGCAGCGCCTGCTCCTGCTGCCGCTGCTGCTGCCGCCGCTGCAGCTGCTGCTGCTGCTGCACCGGGTCAACAACGAGCCGGGGAGGAGCCCACGGGCTGCTGCGAGCTGCTGCAGCAGAGGCCGCAGCGTCCTGCGGAGACAAGAGCTCGTGGGACATAACGTGTTCCGTTCCGAAGCTGCTGCTGCTGCGAGGATCCGTCTGCTGCTCTTGTCGCTGCTGCCGCTGCTGCTTGCTGCTGCTGCTGCACCGCGTTGCTGCTGCGCCGCGTACCTTTCAGGTGTGGCAGATCCAGAGGAACCTCTGCTAGCGGATATCGTGCTGCTGCCCGCTGTAGTGGCAGCAGCTCTACTCACCTCGTAAAGCTTATCTTGCTGCTGCGACTGCTGCAGCACCAAGGGCTGCTGCCGCAGTAGACCGGTGGTAACTGCAACCGCCGAGATGTTCTGGCGGCTTTTGTAGATGTTCCATGTCTTTAAAAGGAAAAATAGTTCATTTCAGTGTACGTGGACCTGAACCTGTGCATGTTTCCCTCGAAGAAGTAGCTATCTGCTCTATTTCATTGATACCTGTTGCTGCTGCAGCTCCTGCTGTTGCTGCTGCTGTGTTCGCGCTCTTCTTGCGGCAGGGACACCAAAATATCTGTGTCTTATCGTCGCAAAAAACACCAAATCCGTGTTAAACGCGAGTTAATTCAATTTAAACGACAGGCATTCTGCATGCAGCAGCAGGTGTCCACTGGGGCCTCCTAGCACTCTAGATCTGCTGAGCAGCACCGGGGCCCCCCAGCAACTTTCAGTCGAGCCCCAGCAACACTGGTGAAAGCTGTGTTGTCTAAAAGCTTGTGAAAGTTGTGTTATCTTATAGGCTCTATTTCTTTGCAGTTTTCTCGGCGGCCCTCTGGGGCCCCGTGGCTGCGATCCTGAACAGCAAGTGCCCCGGCGAGGGCTTGAGAGGCTTTCTCGCAGTCTCGCCGCTCCCTTGTCTCATTCAAAAGTCCCAAATAAATATATTTGCAGAGGTTTCAGCGCCAGAGCCAATAGTAGGGGCCAGGGAGAGTGGCCGCGCCTCTGTGTAACGTGGCTGGCTCGGCGGCCGCGGGATACACCAGCAGTTTCGCCGTGATCCACTGCATGCGTTTGCTGCACAGCAGAATTTTGCGTATTCGCTGCTGCCCGAGGGCTCTCTGTGTGGCTCCACAGTGCTGCTGAGCTCCTGGAAGCTGCCGTGTGGCTGTGGCGCATGTAGTGCTGCTGTGCAGCACACACAGAGCTGGATTGTAACTAAGAGCTGCAAAGTGCTGCTCTTTTTCTGTTCTGTTGCTGCCTTCTGATTACATTGCATGCTCCATAAGTGGATAGTGTGGCTCCATTTCATTCCACTGCGCCGCACTCACACTTGCAGTTTCGGAAGGTTGAAAAAGGCAACACCACAATAAACCCAAACCTAACTTGACGAGGTGTCCTGCAAGCCTCGTCATTGGATGGAGCATGAACTCTTTTAATTAGTTCACTTTATTTTAATTACAGCATTCCCAGCATGTAGGTCGCAAGCATATGGAGCCGCGAGAGCTCTAGTTCATCACTTAATTGAAGCAGGGAAGCAGCTTGCTGAACGCATGCGTACTGCTAATATGAACAGTTATTTACTTGCGTGTAATTTTGTGAGTTAGATTTCCCCATGCACTGACTTCTCCTGAAAATGCCAAAGGTGCCTATTTGAGCTTCCAAGCAATTCATCTTATGGCTTCAATGCTGGCTTCACCACTATTTCTGGAGTTCAAAAACGAAAGGACTTCACTTGACTCTTCTCCCAAAAGCCAGTCTTACCCTTGCAGCTACTGTATTGGACACTTTGAGGCCATTTCGTAGCAGTTCTATTCAGAACCGTCATATGCTAGTCTAGTCCCGTAGCGGGAATTTTACGCTGTCTTGCAAAAAAACTAATGTTATAAGAGTTTTCCAATTCTGTCCTTTAAAGGTGACTTATAGCTAGCTGAGCCTTCCAACTGGTTTCACATTTGCGAGAGCTCAAGGGCCTGCAGCTACCAAGGGACACGAGGGTAGCGCAAATGGACCTAATCGCTCCAAGCGAGTTCAGCCAAGCTGCAAGAGAATGAGTACATGCGCAAGGCCCATAAAATGCATCATTAAAACACCTTTAGGACCTCTACAGTAACCCTCCGGCTGCTGGTTATACCCTATGTCTTTGCCAGATTTCGTGGCAGCGCGCCAGAGCCAGTGGCTGGCGTGCAGTGCTCGAAGACCTGCGGCACGTTTGCGACACATTGCTTTTTTTGAAGAATGGTTTTAGTATGTTCAATGTAATGGCAGTCTGCATGCAGCAGTGCTTCTCAGAGAAACGTGGTTTGCTTCTTAGGCCACGTTTGGAGCTGCCGGCCGGGAGCCAGTTCTTCAACGGAACAGAAATTCAGTTTTGTTATTTCTCTCAGCTAGAAGGCGTGTACAGGTTGTCAGCAAGTTCAGCTAGCACAATTATTTTGATGCTTATGGCAAAAAATATGTACAATTTCCGTTTGCATTCATACAGTAGACGACTGAAGGCCAAGATCTTTACGCATAAATACCGGCTGTGTCTCAAAAATTATGAAATACTTTCCTCTGCTTGCCTGAGTCCTTGTCATACTAAACATGGATGTTTCTGGAGGTAAAGACGTCTAAAACCTTCTTACACTGTCACCTTAAGAGTCCGAGCAAACAGGAAATTCCCTGAGCGCATCTCATTCAAGCTGCATTTTAGTTTGTTTTCCCAGTAGAGTTCGAACTACCAAGAAGATTAGCGCAGGTTGCGCATAATAACGAATACAAGCGTACATATTTTTAAAAATATGGCGCGCTTCGTGAAGAAACGCTTCTGTTTAGGCGGCTGAAGGGATCCCTGTATGTTGCTGGAAATGCATTGAATTGCGCAAATGAAAAAATGTTTAATCGATTCAACGGTCTTAGGCCGCCAGCGTAAACTGAGATGGTGAGTGCTTCAGTTTCAAGTTCACTGAATAGAAGGTGAAAAGAGCTCTGTAATTGTGCGGCCGAGCAAGCCGTAGATCCCGATGGGTCTTCGAGATACTCGAAGATACTGCTATCATTGCTCACATGGTGAACTTCCATCTGCGTCTAGTGATCGATCACTGGAAGGCTGTAATTGCTTACGCAAGCTGCCATGTTCATGCGCTCCCCAGTTTTCGCGTCTGCTGAAAGCGGCACAGATGCATGATTTGCAATTTTTTCTCCCTAAGCGGCGCGCCAGGCTCCCTAAAATTGCTTTGCAGGCCTTTTCGTGACGAAGCACCGAAGCCGACGTTAATGAAAACGTGTTCTTGGTACTTTTTGCACACAGTGTAATTTGTAAACGGTCCAGGGGCAATGATAGCAGAAAACCAAAAATCAGCACATAATTCTTGACGCTATTTCCACTCTGCAGAACAGGAAGTTGATGAACGAATTTGCCAGCAAGGGCGAAAAACGTCCCATGACTACGCGTCGCATCCTACGAGTGCCGCAATATGCAGGACGCACCATAAAACAGGCTTGACTTTGAAGACAAAACTTCTCATGACATTGCAGCTATAGTGTGAACCTAGGCCGAGGGCCGATGGCATACTGTTGTACCTATTCGTATAAACAGAGAGGACTTCTAACATAACCAGCGAATGAGGTGGGTATTGGTCAATTGGCTAGAATGTGAGTCGCTCAGTTGCAAGCCCGTGCTGGTGCATTTCAAAACTTTGTAAAGAAAAAGGAGAGAAACCGAGGACTTCTAGTTTGTTCAAAGTATTCGCAACATGTTTGCCTCTCCCTTATACAGGATTATGCAGCTGAAGGCATTCACTGAACAATGACATTGACGGCGTCATATTCCCCTGCATGTGAGTTCCACACTGATCCTGCAAATGCGTCCTACCGTGGGCATTCAAGGCGGGCTTTGTGTTCTCGTACTCATCGTATTTGTGCTACACCTGACGGCTGCGGCCATCACAAACACGCATGTCGTTCGCTGTACGTAAGCTTGCCACTAGCTCAAGAATATCCTGAGCTTTGAATGCGAAAATCTGCGTTATTTGTTAGCCTTTTGCCCGGTCGTTTGGTACACGAGATCAACAGATAATATATGGCAACTTTTGGCAAGCTTTCGCAAGCAAGCTACCCCTGTTACGTAGTACATTAGCAGCTGCGTTCGTCACCCAAATAAGGCCTTCAGTGCAATTACTTTTTTGAACTTACGTTACATGGTTTGCGCTAGCTTCCATACCAGAGGGCTTAATGGAAGAGACGAGAGTCGCGTCATCCCTACATTCCGTCGCAATTTCACAATAGATGCTCTGCGCCTAGTCGCTCATCAAGCTAACAAGCGCCGCAGCATAGGGATCTGCGCATGTTCCTGTATTGTCTGTGTACGCTGGAGGATCTTCCCCGCTGCACATACAGACAGCTGCTTTCATTCAACTTGATTCCCTGCCGTGAAGCGCAGATGAGCATCCTGAAGCTTGCCTATTTCAGGCGCGCCACAGTGGACAATGCTCTTCTGTACTGGGCGTGCTTGAAGGCTGAGTAACCATTTTCCCACTGCTCAAGAGCTTCTTGGCATGTTATAGCTGTCTCGACTTCCTGTGCTTTTGTAGCCGAAATCACAAATACCTTGTCTCCTGATTCTTCCGACTGTAAAATATCACCCGGGTGGTTGTTTTATTCCATTGTCTCCCATGTCCCACTCCCTATACTAGTCACAATGTTCTTATGTTTTTCAGTGCTACTCGATACAAGCAATAATTCGGGGAGAACAAACGGTGTTACCGTCGTGATAGGTCACAGTTCATGGTCCTCACTGGTGGACCTACGATGTGGTTGAACTTTCCACAATGCAGTGCGCTGCACTCAGTTGCTTGTAGAAAAGCAGCAATATCGGCAGCTGGATTTGCATCCGCGAGTGCTGTATAATGCTGAGCTGTTGAAATAATGCTCTTCCGCCAGTTGCTTATTGTAGCTGTGCAATACTGGTCACATCGGTCTCTGAGAATGTGGCAGCAGCTGGGAAAGCCGAAGCCACAATTGTGCACTTCAACTGCCATTTCTAGAGGCTATTAGCGAAGTTATGGTAATATCCTTCTTAAATGGCAGCTATTTCTGTCCTTGGTACACTTTCCACATCCGTCGCAAATCACAGAAGTCCAGCATTTGAAGCCGTTAATAGCTCCTGTGGAGCGTTCTTTTCATCCCACCAATGACCGTTCATTTAGTTATTTTGTTATTCCCCGCCGCCCGCACATTCTGGAGTGCATTGCCGCCCTGTCTGAACGCAGTTACAGAGCTTTCATGCCCGACAGTGGCCGCGAGCACAAATGCGGCCCAGGTAATAAGCGATTTCATTTCCGAAATAGTGTTAAGTTAATCGGGTCTTCTGAAGTTTTCGAAATGCGCCTGCTATAGCTGCATTCTAATGCATTCTTTAGTTAGAGCTGAACTGAGGTGCTGCTGATGTAGGCGTCTGGTGCTGTGGCGGGGCTACCGCACAGTCAGTTGTGCCACTGCGTCGAAGTTGCACCAGCCTATGGCACGTGTAACCACCGTAAAAAGAGTGTTATTTGATTCCTTTTTACGAAAGACCGGCTTGCCATGACACAGTTGTTAATGCTAATCTCAAACGCAGTTTCGACGGTCGCTCCGCAGAGCCCCAGTGACCCAGCGTGTCAAAGCATTTCCGATCACGCAGTGCTAAGGTTTCCTCTTCACAGAAATACTTCCCTAAGCGTACTTCTATTACTGCAACAGAATATGAGAGGTAACTAGCTGTCAGGGCTGTGTTGCTCCCCTGCTGGCTAAAACCTTTGCAGTGGCTGCGGCGGAATGTTGCTGCGCATGCGCTATAATGAAGAAGCATGCCCGAGTTGCGTCAAATCATCTGTTGCGATTGCCTTAGACCATTCCATCAAAAAAGCTGCGTCACAATTTCCTCGCATCCGAATAAGCGGAACGGCAGGTGCTTAGAGGGTCGCTTAGGATCAGACCTGCAGGAGCATGCAAGGTTGCAGCCACTTTGGCTTCTGCCGAGTGACGTTGTGCTAGCTCGCTCCAATAAAGTAACAGAAGGCGAAGAATGAACACCATATTAAAAATGCCAACAACTCTGAGCTCGGACTGACCCATTTTTCGGTGCCGGTGGCTGTGGAGGCCAATTGCGTGGCCAGAGAAACCGCAAAATCGTCGCATCGCAGTAAAGCCTCCTCCAGCCACTTCTGACAATGCATTATATTTTCAGCTGACGCACACTTATCAAGCATAGAGGCCTTAGCCTCCACAAGTTTTGCCTTGAGGTCAGCGCAGCCCTTGAGGAGCTCCTGTTCCACCCCACGGCACTTCACCATTCTTCAGAGAGATACAGAACAAACCAGCATGCCGGAAGCTCGAGGATGACAGGCTCTGCGCCTCCTCTCGTTGCATCATCCCATGCAGCGAGCGAAAGCTGCGGATGGCCAGATGAGGCAAGTGAGGCGAGCACGCGGCGCACTGCAGCGAAAGCAGCGTGGCCTCGAAGTTACCCTTTTGTACAACTAGAAAGGAAACACCCGTTAGCATTCACTTCTGTGGCTGCTGCGTCAGCAAAGTGCCACCTGCAGCTTCTGCAAGACCCGCTGTGGTTCGCAAGCCTCGCCGCTGCGCGTGCAGTTCATCGCAGCGGCGGCGGACGGGCAGTTTGCGGTGAAGAAGTGCACTTGTCCGCTGCAGCAAAGGAAGGCGCTGCAGTTGCTGCGGAAATTGCCACTGCAGCAGCAGCGCTGGGGCAGGGAGATCCGGTCCTGCGGCTGCAAGCTGCTGCGCTTCTTGGTGAGGCAGCAGCGCAGCTGCAGTCAATCGGTGAAAAGCTTTCTTCCTCAGACTCCGAACAGCCAGCCACAGCCCGCAGCGGACCACTGAGGCCTTCGGAAGACGCGCAGTGCAGTGCTGCAGCAGCGGAACGTGCTGCTAGTGCTCTGCAACTGTGGCACTTTCGGCTGATGGCTTTGCCTTTCAGCCTCAGTATAGTGACTCTAGGGGCCCGAGGAGCAGCTCCGTGGAGGCCGCGGCCGTGCAGTGGGCTGTCTGGAGTTGCTGCGACTCCGTTGATGCAGCCTCCTTTTGGTGCGGATGAATTGCTGTTGCTGCAGCAGCACATCCAGCTTGCCATTTCATTTATAAATACTTTAGCCATTCGAATTCCCCACAAGCTCGAGCACCTTCAACTCCGCTGCATGCATACACTGCAGCAGGCGCAGCAACTGCTGCTGCAGCTGGACCTCTCGGCAGCAATGCCTGCGCCAGAAACAGCTTCGGAAGCCGCGGAAGAACCTGTTGGAGCTGCACTATGCCCTGACGCCAGTATTGCTGACGTTTTGCCGCACACGAGTTCCTTGTTGCTGGGCACGCAGGACAGAGGAGTTGCTTTGCCGGTAGTGCCCGCTAGAGCCACTCCAGCAGCAATGAGTAAGATGCTCGTGGCATTTCTCCGTTGGAAACACCCGATCTGCGACTGGTTTTTGAAATGTTATTTGCAGAATAATCATGAATTCACCATTTCGGTAATATGCTGCAGAGTTGGTGGTGTTGCTTTGCTTGCGTTTGCTGTGAGCTTAGTCAGGGCTTTCGGCGTCACTCCAGGTTTGCAGCGTCGGCAAAAAGAAGAGAAACATTCCTGGCTTAATCCCTCGGTCCAGCCGTTGGTTCCTCGCTTGTGGACTTTTACACTTCTAGGCAAGCAAAAAAACATGCGGGAAACTGCTCTTTCTCGCGGGTTTTTCCTCCCAACCGTCAGTCCATGTTGGAGAGGCGAATTTGTAGGCTGTCCTACTGGTGTTAGGGGAGGCTCAGCACCTGAAGGCAGCTTTCTTTTGAAACATGCAGCGAAGCTGCATGCATTCCTTACTTCCAGCCTGCGGCCTGAATTGGCGTTGCGCTGAGGTGGAAGGAACCGCAGTCGAGATTATTTTTGAACTTCTGAAGTGTAATTCATCGCTATCGTTTAGACTTTAGGGGTCGAACAACAGTGTGTTTGGGATCATCAAGTCTTGCTTTTGCGTCCATTTTCATCCGTTTGAACTCCAAGATGCGATAAAAGGGATGTTGCTGGCTGTGACTGCATGGCCTTCTGGCCGCCGTAGTCTTGAAAAAATACACTTAACGTTGTGTTGGGCAGTTTTCACACATTTCACCGCGAGGTTCCGATACTAGCCTGTTGGTATGTGCCTTTTTTGAAGCATTTGTGCTACATAGCTCGAGACAATATTGTCATCCAGACGTCTTCTGTCTGGCAGCGGAAGCTTCACGGCATGTAACAAGCGAGGCTTTTCCTCAATCAAAGCGGTGCACAGCGGCCCAGCAAAACTTTTGCAATTTCTTGTAGCCCATCAAACAGCAAGTGCAGGCATCTCAACATGCTGGCGCGTTAGTGCGTCGGCCGCCTTGTAAGGCTAAGCCGCTACTTCGCAAACGGGAAACTGCAGCTGCGTAAAAGCATGTAGCGCTAAATGGTCCCGCAATCAGGGCAACAATAGTTGAGAGGACAAAAGCTGCAACAATGATGTTAAAGAAAAGCAAACTGCCTTCATTGTAGACGGACCACACCCGGAATCCACGCTAATTCGATGTGGCAGGCAAAGTTTCGGAGCGCTGTAGCAAAGTGTTGTTACTGGAGCAGTTCTTTGCTACCTCTCTTCCACTGTGCCCGTTATCCCAGGGCCTGTAGATTCACTGAGTGCATAAATTTCAGGCTTTGGCTGGGCACACGCCCGCCTCACCTGTTCATGACTGATACTTCTTCTTTTTATGCCTCATGCTGTAGCTTCAGGTCGAGTGAGAGCTGCTACCAGCTCGTTTAATGTAAAGGCTCTGCGTACCACGAATCAGCCCACCTCGCTGTGTTCTAAGGAGCTTCCCGAAATGCACGAGAGAAGAAAAAAACTGCCGGCACTTACTTCGACTCCCATGCAGAGCAGAAAGAAATAGAGCTGACAAAAGAAAAAGCCTGCAGTTTCGTGGCTGTCCGCAAGCTGCCTCTGGACCTCTGTTGGTGATACTTGACCAACTTACTGGTGCCGCGCACCACCCTGTTGCCGGGGCCTATATTATATGCTACTTTGGGACCAATTACGAGGGTAAATTCTATGAAGGCGGCGAAAGATGTCCTCAATGCTAGGACAGAGGGCGTTATTTGGTTCTGCTGCAGGGGAATATCTGCAAAAATGACATTTTTTTCCGTTTCCTCATCTGCTTAGGATAAAATCGGTTTCACGAGCTGTATGGCTCCTAGGGTGTGGACATAATGCAACAACTATACAAAACTTAGGAATATGTATGTAGTAAATAAGAAAGACGGCTGCACACGGGCTTCAACAGCTCATGAAAGAATCTGTTGCTGTTCTGCTTTGTCCAAAATGGTACCAGGTCTCTCCATGAACTGTTGCTGCTGCATGACCATGGGGGACTACAGAGGTAAACAAAGAGTTCGGCAAGACTGTCGCCATTACCTTTTAGGCCCCAAGGGAAGTGCGCTTTACTGCACTTGTTGGCTAGGGCACGTCGGTGTCAGTTGCAGTTGGCCAAGGGGCTTGGCTAGGGAAATTTCCAAAGGAGCTAAGCAGTAGTATGCGTGTGGTAGGTCCCGAAACTTCTGGAGAAACTGTTAACCGTATGACACTCACTGTGCGATAGCCACAAGCACTCCCCTGTGCGACACGTGCAGTCAAAGGAGAGGCGAATTTAGCTCCATGGACAGGCAAACACCACAGGTGTTAGCAGCGAGACGCTAACTCATGGAAGAATTTTTATCAAGTATAATGTTTTTATAGCATTTTGCCTCTCCCAAAACTCACGGGCGGGGTTTGTGGGGCAGAGCGGAAAAGAAGTGAGTGCGGCGGACTACGCTGAAATGCAGAGCCTCCTCTCATCAGTTTTCTTTGCATACGCAAGGTTCGTATAAGCTCTAATGAATCAAGTATATTGTAAATGTTCAGTAAGGCTGAGCACACTAAGAAAAAAAATTCAGCGGGCCGCTTCTGTGAGCTAAAGGCCGACTGATGCGAGACCAACAGTGATCGGGGGAAGCAGTTTCCCTTTCTTTCTGAGTGATACATTGAAAAAAAACAAAACCGTTTCTGAGGGAAACTCGATGTCAGTTGCGTGCTATCAGTTATTTGTGTGCCTATGCACATCAGCTCCCCCGCAGTGCACTCCAGGAGCAAACAAAAAAGGATGAGCCCGCGTGGTTGTGACTTGTTCTAAAATGGCGTGCCTGGAGCAGGCTACTCGGCTGGGCGGCGCTGCTAATTTTACGGCTGAAAACAGGAAACACTGCGTTTAAAATTTGTTATTTAAGGAAGAAAAAGCATATTATATGAAAGCAACTTGGTCATTCACTGCGTGCGTGCTCTTCAGGCCAACGGTTGGAAAGGGGTCGGGAGTGACCTACTGATGCAACAAACGACATTGGGCCTCAGGTAAGCATTCGACCTAAATTGGCATACTTATTATGAAATTTTGCTTTGCTTATTCTAATGGAATGCTTCAAAATGTGAACGTAGCTCTGGGTGTAGGCGGGCACTCACAGGTGCACTTGTGCGAAGGTAGCCGCATCGACTCTGGGAGCCCCGCCACAGCACCGTTGGACGATGCACGGCCCGCCATCCGATTGTAGGCAAGAGAACAATCCTAAAACATTTTATCTGGCGCACTTAGATTAATTTAGGAAACCACTTTTTGTTTTGGTCGTTTCAGCAATGAAATCGCTCTGCACTTGCGCCGCATTTGCGGTCGCGGCCGCTATAGCGCAGGGGAGCTTCGCAACTGCCTTCAGTCAAAATGGCAGGGCACTCCGAACTGTGCGAAACTCAAACGCAACTGATTTAACACCCATAGGTAAACTGAAACGGACCTTGTTCAAGAGCTATTGGCGACCCTGCAAGTGTTTCGTCGACACGTTTTTCCGTGCAGAGTTTAGGGAGGGTGTCAAGAGCAAGTAGCGCTGCCGTCTAAAACAGCAATACCGTCACCTTACTAGCATGCCTTTAAAGTAGCAGCAAAAATTTGTAACTTTAGATTTGGATGCCACAACTGCTGCCACATTCCTCAGAGGCTGAAGATAAATACTGCACGGTTACAATAAACGCATGGCGGAAGAAAATTGACTCAGCCGCTATCGACTATGCAGCACTCGATAGTGCAGCTCCTGGCACTGACATTCAAACTTTTCTCGGCGCAAATGAGTGCACTGCATTGAAGTCTGGAGACTTTAACCATATCGTAGGTCAACCAGGGCATGTAACAAGCTTTTAGCAGGCAGACCTGCAGGAAAATATGTTCTCCCAACAAATACTTTTAGCAGGAAGAATTGCAGGGAAAAAAGATAGCCTGTGAAAAAATAGGGAGTGGGCGGTGGAATGCAAGGGAAGGAAAATTACTCGGGTAATTTAATGCAGGCTGATGAGACTGGAGGGAAGGTATTCGTGATTTCGGCTGCGAGAACAGATGAGCCCGATACTGCCATGACATGCCAAGAAGCTCTCCAACAATGGGAAACTGGTTACGACGCCTTTGAGTAGGTCCAATGGAAAGGGGTGTCATCCGCTGCATTACGTTAGGTCTACACTTCAAATGGCAACGGGCTCACGTTGTGTGGAGGCAGCTATCTGTATGTGCAGCGGGCAAGATCCTCCAGTTTATACAGACAAATCCGGTGCATATGCGGATCACAATGCTGGTGCTCTAGTGAGCTTACTGAGTGACAAGGCGCAGAGCATCTACTGTGGAACTGCAACGGAATGCGGGGATGACACGATTCTCGTCTGCTACATTAAGCCCTCTGGCATAGAAGCTAGCGCAAGTCCTGTAACGTGAGCTCTGCACAGCATTCACGATGCAAGCCTCACCTGGCTGGCTCACCAAGTTGCCACAGTTCTACGTTTCACATGTAGCTTGCTTGCCAAAAGCCGCCACATGTTTTACGTTCATATCTCACCTCAGAGGGCAGAGTGGAAAGCTAGCAAATAACAGGGCTTTTTCAGTTCAAAATGCAAAATTTTCTTAAGCCAGTGGCAGGCTTTTAGGCGCAGTGATTGGCCTGTGTGTTTGTAATGGCTGCAGCCGTCAGATGTGGCACAAATACGATGAATACAAGAAGACAAAGCCTGTCTTGGCTGAGCATGGTAGGATGCACTTTCAGAATAAATGCTGGGCCTGGATTCAGGAGAATTGGCGGAGTAGGCGGCTGCCAGTGCCATTGTTCGGTGACTGCCTTCCGCTTTCATGATGTGCAGCGGGCGAAGACCTCCTGGATGCGGTGAATGCCGTGAGAGGTGCAGAGGACCTGAAACTCGATGCATTCACTGCCGCGCAGAGTGCAGAATTAGGGGAGTTCAAGGAAAAGAGCGCCGCAACATCTTATGAAAATGCACTGTACGCTCTGACATGCGAGCAGATCAACAGCTCGACAATCGACCCAGTGGTGAGTTTCCATACCCACAGCAAAGCAAGCCGTAATGCGGCTTTTACCCGTTTTTGAATACTGTCGATCGTCTTGGTGCAACCACAGCCCTTTGTAGTGTTTGGGCATCATGAATTTATAAAATAATTCTTGAGTTAGCTTTGTAGCTTGCTTGGACGCCATGCAGCTTCATTTGACATGGTGCAACCTATTCTCAGGTGCAAGAGGAGTACACCCTGATTTACTATTCCAAAGAAGGTGAAGCGGTTCCTACAGCGGATGAAACCGTCGCCTTCTGGCAAACTGGTCTTGATCAGCTTGGGTCAGTCGGTGTCCGCTTCGCTACCAGCCAGTAGTGGTAGTGGATTCTTTGGCGCTGCGCAACACAAAAAGCTATAAAATATGCTGAATCAAGGGGGGCGTTGCTGTTGGTCTTGAGCATTCGTGAAGACTCTCTTTCGCAAAGAGATTGCCCTGTCACAGTGAAGGCCTACTTTCCCACAATGTCTTCACATCATTTGAGTTTTGAAAGAATATGCTGCGTGCAGAGAAGAGCGCCCACCTGCATTCGAGCCTAAGAGTGAGGTAATGAAGAGAGCCCGGCGCACAAGAAGCTCGGGAGGCACTGAAATCTACTACAAAAGCGAAGTGGCCGGCTACGTCTCAATGATGGTTGACGAGGCCCGCGAAATGAGATGCTATGATGCCACTGGCTGCACAAACTCCGCACTCATTTGCTTCGTTAAAGCGCCGACACTAGTCCAGGGTCAACAGCCCATCAGGTATGTCATGGTCTGCAGGAAACACTAGACGAGAACATATTCGCTCTCCACTGCAATATCCTAAGTGCTTTGTTGTGGCTCGAATTTCTGAACTAGTTCCCTTTTCTGAACAAACCGTCGAACAGTCCACTCATTCGGAGCCTAGCGTTCCGCTGTTCTTATACAGCCAGCCCTCGAGAGTGCAGAAAATGATTAGCCCACAAGTTCTATTGAGGCAAGCCTGTAGAAGAATGTAAAGCGGCCTTGTGTGAGCAGTGAGGAAACCTGGAACAAAATCACGGCCACAGAGGAGCCTGAACCCGAACCCGAGCCCCCTACCAGCATTTCTTTCACTAGACTCCGTAAGGCAGTGGCACACTCTCGCTGAAAGTCTCAAGCGCGGTGAAAGCACTGTCAGGCATTGCCTTCATTTCACAGAGCTTCAGCACTTCTGTCGTGTCGTTTGTGCCGTAATAATTTACCGTCGTCTGGTGCCGCTGCTAGCTCATCTTATATTAGAGACACAAGTGCTTGTAAGAGAGAGAATTGCCGCGCAAGTAAGAGACACAAGTGCGTCGTGTGCTTTCTCTATCCATGTTGCAATAGAGGAAGACAAGAGCTGCGTCAAGGAGATCAACGGCTTCCGCACGCAAGAAACCCTGGGCTTGAAGGGCTTCACAGAAGCCAAGGCCAGTGCGAAAGCAACAAGAAACACACAGCTTAGCGAGCCCATGAGTGGCGTGACTTGCGAAGCTCTCAAGAATGGCACTGTCACGATTATGGTGAGCTGCTCACGAGCTCCATTTCATTACATCTTGGCCATGCGCATAGTAACTTTCAACAGCTTCCTCTTCGTATTAGTTTTGGTTGCAAGACGCTTCACGGAGCACCACCGAAACGGCAAAAATCGGCATTTTGTGCATTTCCTATCTCGTCTGGAATCAGGCGAGGCAAAATGTACCACGTTCCCCTGTTTTGCGCTGCTTTTCTCATCACAGGACACAAATATGACAAAGAGCTTGATGTACTACTCTGGCACTGAAGCCACTTGCTCCGTTGCTGTTGCCGCCTGGAAGAAGGGATATGAACAATTCAGGTGGGGGTTCTGTCACGCAGAACATTAACCTTTTTTTCGCAGTACATTGCGACATAACAACCCAGCAGTTGCTGCGCCGCTGCCTTTTGCCCTTAACGGTGGCCTAGCTCTCTCTGTCTGTGAACTGTGTGTGGTGCTCAGCGCAATCCCACCAGCTTACACCACCAGCGAGACTGTTTACAAAAAGGGCGATGCAACAAACTTCGTTTCCCTCATCAGCGAAGGAGAGAGTACCACAGCCGCCTGCTACAGTGTTGGGGGCTGCGACCAGCAAGGTATCGTTTGCGAGCTCTCTCCTGCAGTCTTCACCAAGGATAAAGCACCCATATCGTAAGTGTTCACGACTAGAGGAGATTCTTAGCCTTTTCCGTCAATATAAAGCTTCTCACACACAACGAGTGGATTCTGCAGCCTCTCGTATACCTTCAAGTAGTAGTCCGTGCGGATGACTACTGAAGTCCTTCTCTGATTATAAAGCAACACGAGCGCTACTCATTAGATCGTTCTAGCTGCTTAGTTGGCAGTTCCACTCGGAAACGAAATCTGTTGACAATTTTTCCTGCGATCTGCCCTTATTTGTTTGCTTTCAGCGAGAGCACCTGGAAAAAGGTTTCTGAGACCATGTCTCAAGGCAACGGCGCTCCAGCTGCTTTCTCCACTACCCTCCTTAGCACCGCCTTGGTAGCGGCTGTTGCCTTTGCATTCAACTTCTAAGTGAATGCAGAAAGTGACATAGAACGGTTGCCCTTTGCTTCGCGGGTTGAACGTCAAGCAGCGGCACCGGTGATCTTTGTAAAGGTGCCCTTGCTGCAGCTTTACGCCGTGAACACTTTTGTCCTGTTCTTGCTTTAATTGAGTGTTATTCGTGAATGCACAGATCTGCTGCGACCTTCTCAGGGCACCGTAGTATAGTTCTTTAGAGAAACCGTCCGTAGACTTCCCTAATTCTATCACTGCAGAGTACTCTTGTTGGAATTTTAAGCAGATCCTAGCCTCTGCGAAAGCCCGTTTCCGGCTGTAACGTGCCAGTGAAAGGCGTTTAACACTTAATAGAGTGAGCGGCAGAAAGTGAAGACTCAAAAAATGTGGGACGAGTACAGCGTGCCGTCGTAAGTGTGCATGATTCCAAGCTAGTAACCAAGTAGTCTTTCTCAAGCCAAACAACCTAGAAAACTGCAGCGGTACGCTCACCTTTCAGGGTATCCCGAGAGATAATCTATTTTGTCTATTGATGACGAGACGCTAGGCTGCTGCGAGCTCTGGGAATATGTAATCGGAGGGCTCTCTTCTTAGGAAGGCCGCCGCATGTCACAAAACGAGGGGTCATTGCAATGTAGAACCAGCCTATCACAAATAATTGAAACCAGAAGCTAATACGGCAGGCGCTACATGCTCCACGAACTTTTATGTATTCCCACACCTACAAAGTGCACCTTTCGGGGAGCTGGGGCTGGGGTAGGCCAAATGCAGAATGCGGTAGACAGCAAATCTTACTAAATAAGCACAAAACATGCCTGATTTGAGTGTTGAAAAAAATGCTTAGACTTTAGGTAAGACACTTGGAAATAACATGCCTTCTTCTATAATATTTTCGCTCTTGCATTTGTAGCCGTGTGTTGCCTTTAGTGCTTTTGCATTTGGTACTAGTATTTTGCGCTGCTGTGCCGAGAGCAAAAACCACTGTTAGCCGTAATTTGCAAGTGAGGGGTCTTAAGAGCCTAACGTAAGAGTCCCGCCTGCCTGCCACTTCAAATGGAGCTGGGATATTCTGTAGAGCGGGCTTACAAAGCTTTTAAAAGTCTAATAATTTCACATACTCGGTTTCGACGCCACAATCGAGCTCGGCAAAAGACCTGATGTGATCTGTTTACGAATGGTAAAGACATTAAAATTCATGGCTGGACTGCATTTTGTTAAATTCCATTGCATAGCCGAAGCTTCATTGTGTCAAACTACAACATTTAAATCAATCATGAATCTTCTAAGCAGCATTGATTTGCGGTTACATGGCTCCAAATTTGCCCTTTCATGTTTGGTTTCTACAGTGGGAATGTTTAGTTTAGCGTTTTGCATGAAGCCGTCTCAAACCGGATAGTTCAGCTTACCTCGTGTCTACATGATCTCCAGCAACTACTCTGTGGCATACGGAACAAAAGATGAGCTTGTTTGCTCATTTTCTGTTCTTCATTCTGCTATTTTCCCGTGAGCTCCGAAGACGCTTGCAACAAGGATTTTGTGCTCCACATTTTTAAAATCCAAACATGAAAAAAAATATTCGTAACTCGTACGTCTTCTCGCTGCGGCAATTGTCTCATTGCATCTCCAGGTCAAGCCTGATGCCATCAAGCCTGATATCAGAAGAAAAAGTCGAATAGCGACTTTCACCTTGGGCCGTTTTGCATTGCAAACAGGACCCATGAGAGGAGCCAAAGGAGTGTTGACGCTCCCTCCAAATTAACAGCCTTTGAAACTTTTAGCTAAAATGTTTACGCAAAGGGCAATGATGCTTGTACTGTAAGATTCATATGCAGCGTTGCTAGCTCTTTGCAAGATTACGAGCATTTCCGTTGTGGCCAGAATGGGGTGCCGAATAATGTGCAGAGCATTACTCAGCGTTATCAGCACTTCAGCTCCGTTTGATGTCACCAAAATTGCCTCTTGCGGTGAAACTAAAAGGTGCGTTGCGCTTTAAATCTTTGAGATCTTATCATGGGTACCAGCTCAATTTGCAGACAAGCTATTAGGCAAAGCACGGGCACTTCTGAAGGCGAGCCTTAGTTAGGTCACAAACGTCGAAAGCAGATTTTAGTCGAACAAGAGTACAAGGGAAGAATATTCAAATTACAGTAGCCCTCTTCACGATATCGAAAAGCAGCTAGCACGGTCTATTCCGAAGACAAAGAGCCATGGAGGTCAGGATTTCACCATTTGAGATTCTTTAGGGCTCTTATTTCGTTCTAAAAGCTACTTTCGTGCATAATGGTTCAGCAGCAGCGTTAAGCTGGCAAAAAATAAGCGAATGATGCTCAATTTGTTCTGTTATTGATTTTACAGATTCTACTGAAACACCAAGCTTCACAAGTAAAGCCATATTCATGAATTAGCCATTTTGACGCTGCTTCGTTCCAGGCCTGGATATACTTGCACAGTGCCCTAGGCAACTCAGTGAAGCAGAAACAGACGTGGCAGCAGCTCGAAGTTTGCACTCACCCATGAAACAAAGCTAATGTAACGACTAATTGACTCTAAAATATGCAAAAGTCTTCTGATGCTGCAACAAGAAACTGCTTTCGCAAGGAATATTAGAAACAAAGATACCGTGTCGTCAATTACTTGAGACCTACTCATTTGAGAGTCTGAATTTTAGCCCTTGTAGCTCACAACTGTCCAGCTGACTCCGTAAGCATAAGCTGTCGATTTATAAATGAAATGCTGCCGCTAATGATTGGTTTATGGGGAAAAAAAGATATCAAGCTTGGATTGGGAACACACTCCTCCATTTTCACGTTCGTCTCATGGCTAGCAGGCTTTTGTTAATGAGTTCTAAAGCCCGACTGCGCCCTATTTCCGCCCTAAATAGTTTCAGCTTTAATCAGAGCGTTTTGATGTCAAACGGCAGAAGATTAACGTGTGACCGTTCTTGCTGCCACGTTGCTTTGCTCTCCTCCACACTGTGCATTATAAGCACTGGACATACCTTTCCTGTTTTTCTTTTCTTGTTGAAACCAAACATTAATCTACAGTTAAATCGCTCTTCTTTGAAGCGCTTGGAATAATTATTCGTGAAAAGGCGCACAAAAATATAGCTCCCGGAACGCTGTAGGGGGTCTTTATTTCATCTGGCAGTTAGACTGCACGTGAAAGGTGACTATCTATATATGTATATGCACAACGCACATTTAAAGTTATTGTGCACGTCATCGCCACCTGATTTGGAACCCATATCGGAACGGCGTTGTGCAATGGCCAAATTTCCATCTGTTTTCACACTGCCCTTAATCATATGAGCAAATTTCGCACGCCACAAAGGCACTCAGCACCGTAATGGTCGTGTGGGAAGTTTTGCGCCGAGACAAAAAGCGCGTGATTCATGCATACAAGTTAAAAGCCCCACAGGAGCCAATGCAACTGTAGTCCGACATTAGTAAGAGCTTTCAGCAACTGATTATTCAACCCTGAATTGCGAAAAGAAATATTTGTCTGCTGATCATTGCTCTGCAGAGGCGGTGCAACCTGAATGCATTTGGCTACGGCTTCACCCATTTTTAGCAATCTGACGCACAAACAACAACTTGGCAGGTGCACCCTGACGTGAGCTGAGTGCGAAAACACGCCCTGCCGATTGCGCTGCCACTGCCCTAGAGGTCGTTTTAATGGCGTGGTAGTCTTAAATGGATTGCACGCACTGAATGTAGCATATACGCATGTCTGCTCCCAAAAGTGAATGAGCATTAGAGGTTGTTCACTGCATACAGTCACAAAAAGACAGTCAAGCTGGCAAGGATTAGTACGCCTAACAGGAACTGCTGCGATGGCTCGCTTCTGCGTCCTCCATATCCCTCCGCTCGTCATCTTCGCGGCTTGGCGTCGCTTTCTTGTCATACCATAGAATATAACATACCATAGAAATGCGGCCCCTTTGTGTGCTTCGGACGTGCGCATGCAGCACCTGTGGTTGGCTGTTTTCACGGAAAGCGGGTGAAAGGGCTTAGTCGCTAATTGCAGCATCGAGAGGGAAACCAGTTTCCCCGCTATGCAGTGGAGTTCCGCAGCGGCCTCTGCAGCTTGCGAAGCTAAGGGAACTGTTCCCTTCTGGCATGGATGTTCAATGTGGTTTTACGCCTCGCTGGCGGACTCTCTTGTGCTGCAAGCAGTTATTCTGGGGCATTGTCTCCCATTTCTTCCATTCTGTCATTGTTGAAGTGCTTATATGAGGCGACATTCACTGGGTTTCAGATATACAAACCACGTGCTGCATTGGCTGCCTCTTGCCCCCGGCTCACCACTGGTTTCCCTCTCGATGCTGCAATTAGCAACGAAGTCCTTCCCCCCACTTTCCGTGAAAACAGCCAACCACAGGTGCTGCATGCGCACGTCCGAAGCACACAAAGGGGCCGCATTTCTATGTTATGTTATATTCTATGGTATGACCCGGGGCATTCTACAGGAGACCAGCAGAAAAACAAAAATAAGATGCACTTGCGGGACACTGTACAAAAGAACACAGACGCGATTTACCATGAGCTGTCCTCGAAATCACAGACTGCAACATTATGCCTATGCCTGATTTAAGTGTCTTTTAATTCAGCCTTTGCTCAATTTAAATGTGCTTGCATGCAGCTGCCAGTGCTGCTCCGCTAAAGGAGCAATAAGGCAAGCTTTCCCACCACAGACAGCTTTGGGGTTGGCAGGGCTGAAGCTTAACAAGGTAGCACTCTTGAATTTACAGAGGATAAGAGTGCGACTTGCACGGCAAGGGTTTACTCATCCTACGCAGCCGCTGGCGCCTGCTGGAGCCTTAGAAAGAACGTAGTGGTCACTTTATTTCTAAGGGAGACTTGGTTTAATGTTTTCCTGAAGTATTGCTGAGGCTGGCTGTCACTGTGTGCTGTCACTTGCTTAGCAGCTTATTACGAAATCCATTTAGAAGATTCTGAATTCCAGTTGTGGCTGGCCAGTTGACTGCCAGCATGCAGCGAACAGCTAGCTGCCTAAGGCTTGTCTGCTCCTGCAGCTTCTTGAATTCTCTCCGGGAAAGCATCGACAGCCACGTGGCAGTCGCTGTTATATTCTCAGCACTTAGTGAAGAAACACCAAATCAAGAAAAGCTTTAATCAGCAACTCAGTGTAGAAAAACCAAACCAAAAAGGAATTTAATTTGCTGTAAGACAGGGCGTGGGCCAACGATTTGAAATGGTTGGGATACTATTCTCCCTGCCACAAGTCTGCAATCGTGAATTTCTCTGGTCGTTTGTTTCCTGCCTCCACAGTTTTCCTCATATGGGAATATTATTTGTTTAGCAAAAACATCTGCTGGAACTGACAGTTATGAGGCCGCAACAGAAAGTCTAAAAAAGTAGAAAGCCAATGAACCACTACTTGCAACAGGGCTGCGCAAAGCAGTTCAAAGTGCCGCACATTGTTGTGCAGCAGCGGTCTGCACTCGAACCAGAGATAACTAAACAAAAACATTGGAAAGCGAATGACAAAATAAACAAATAAAGTAATTCTGGGGTTGCTGGCGCTCCTAGACTCAACATGGCGCGAACTGGCACTAGACCCAGCAGCTGACAAAGGGTTAAACGGGAAAAGAAATTCTTTTCGCGACCACCAGCAAAGCCAAGAAGCTTAACGACTCAGCAAACAGAAAAAAACTGCATGCATCGAAAGAGTAGTAGTGCGCTCCAAGGGTTTTCACTTTTGCTGCACATGACTCCCATGTGTTGTGAAAGCACCTGCTGCTGGCAGATCTCTTTTCGGTTTTTTTCCTCTCCTTCAGAGACTGGAGGACCTCAGTGCTTTTTGCTGCCATTTCAGCAGCAGCTGCTGCTGAGCACAGAACACTGCTGCAGCACAGCTGCTGCTGAAGGCTGGGGAGAGCGCAGCCGGAATTCGTCATTATTTCTAAATTAATGCTGCTGACGCAGCACTAATTCAACAACAACAATAAATGAAAATTAAAAATGCGAGAGGCATAAAGCGCTTTAATGGGGCTAAAGCCTCCAAAGCTGCTAAACATGAATGGAAGACTTTCGCACTCCCCGAAAAGAAGAAAATTCAGATGGCAGCAGAAATGGCTCGGAAACCCTAGGATGAAAAGCCCTGAAACTCAGCTCCAGAAAATGCTGAAATCTGCTGCTAATCAAAGCTGCTGAAATAAACAAAACAAAGAGAAAGTGTGCAGTAGTTGTCCCATTAAACCCTGAAATGAATGAAAAGTGTTTGGAGGTGCACAAGCGCTCGGCAAATAGGAAGGTTTCCGTGCCGTGGGGCCTTAAAAGGTTCAAGTTCATTAAGTTAATTCAAATTGAAATTGTTTTTGAACACTAATTGAATATTTTCAGCAACCCCCCTTCACAGAAACAGCTTCACTGCTGCTGCAGGTTGCTGCT